TGTGTGTGTGTGTGTGTGTGTGTGTGTGTGTTTACTCACCTATTTATGATTGCAGGGGTCAATTCATAGCTCCTGGCCCCGCCTCTTCACTGATTGCTACTAGGTCCTCTCTCTCCCTGCTCCATGAGCTTTATCAAACCTCGTCTTAAAACTGTGTATGGTTCCTACCTCCACTACGTCGCTTTCTAGGCTATTCCACGGCCTAACAACTCTATGACTGAAGAAATACTTCCTAACATCCTTTTGATTCATCTGAGTCTTCAACTTCCAATTGTGACCTCTTGTTTCTTTGTCCCATCTCTGGAACATCCCGTCTTTGTCCACCTTGTCTATTCCGCGCAGTATTTTAAATGTCGTTATCATGTCTCCCCTGACCATCCTGTCCTTCATTGTCGTCAGGCCGATTTCCCTCAACCTTTCTTCGTAGGACAATCCCCGTAGCTCTGGGACTAGTCATGTTGCAAACCTTTACACTTTCTCTAATTTCTTGACGTGCTTGACCAAGTGTGGATTCCAAACTGGTGCTGCATACTCCAGTATGGGCCTGACGTAAATGGTGTACAGAGTCTTGAACGATTCCTTACTGAGGTATCGGAACGCTATCCGTAGGTTTGCCAGACGCCCGTATGCTGCAGCAGTTATCTGATTGATGTGCGCCTCAGGAGATGTGCTCGGTGTTATACTCATCCCCAGATCTTTTTCCTTGAGTGAGGTTTGCAGTCTTTGGCCACCTAGACTGTACTGTGTCTACGGTCGTCTTTGCCCTTCCCCAATCTTCATGACTTTGCATTTGGCTGGGTTAAACTCAAGGAGCCAGTTGCTGGACCAGACTTGTAGCCTGTCCAGGTCTCTTTGTAGTCCTGCCTGATCCTCGACCGATTTGATTCTTCTCATTAACTTCACATAATCTGCAAACAAGGACACTTCTGAATCTATCCCTTCCGTTATGTCATTCACATATACCAAAAACAGCACAGGTCCTAGGACTGACCCCTGAGGAACCCCACTTGTCACAGGCGCCCACTCTGGCACCTCGTCACGTACCATGACTCGTTGTTGCCTTCCTGTCAGGTATTCTCTGATCCATTGCAGTACCTTTCCTGTTATGTGTGCCTGATCCTCTAGCTTTTGCAGTAACCTCTTGTGAGGAACTGTGTCGAAGGCCTTCTTGCAGTCCAAGAAAATGCAGTCTATCCACCCCTCTCTCTCTTGTCTTACTTCTGTCACCTTGTCATAAAACGCCAGTAGGTTTGTGACACAGGATTTTCCTTCCCTGAAACCGTGCTGGTTGTCGATTATACACTTGTTTCTTTCCAGGTGCTCCACCACTTTCCTCCTGATGATCTCCATGACTTTGCATACTATACACGTTAGTGATACAGGTCTGTAGTTTAATGCCTCATGTCTGTCTCCCCTTTTAAAAATTGGGACTACATTTGCCATCTTCCATACCTCAGGGAGTTGCCCAGTTTCAAATGATGTGTTGAAGATCTTTGTTAATGGCTCACACAATATCTCTGCTCCCTCTTTAAGGACCCACGGAGAGATGTTGTCTGGTCCCACCGCCTTTGAGGTGTCAAGTTCGCATAGCAGCTTCTTCACCTCTTCCTTGATTATGTGTACCTCATCCAGCACTTGTTTGCGTACTTCCCTGTTCTGATTTCCTGAAGTCCTACCGGTTTCCACTGTAAATACTTCTTTAAATCTCATGTTGAGTTCCTCACATACCTCTCGGTCGTTTCTTATGAACTCCCCATCACCTTTCCTCAGTCTGATTACCTGGTCCTTGACTTGTATGCCTCCTGATGTGGCTACACAACAGCTTCGGGTCAGACTTGACTTTCGAGGCTATGTCATTTTCATATTGTCGCTGACGTAAATGGTGTACAGAGTCTTGAACGATTCCTTACTGAGGTATCGGAACGCTATCCTTAGGTTTGCCAGACGCCCGTACGCTGCAGCAGTTATCTGATTGATGTGCGCCTCAGGAGATGTGCTCGGTGTTATACTCATCCCCAGATCTTTTTCCTTGAGTGAGGTTTGCAGTCTTTGGCCACCTAGACTGTACTGTGTCTACGGTCGTCTTTGCCCTTCCCCAATCTTCATGACTTTGCATTTGGCAGGGTTAAACTCAAGGAGCCAGTTGCTGGACCAGGCGTGTAGCCTGTCCAGGTCTCTTTGTAGTCCTGCCTGATCCTCGACCGATTTGATTCTTCTCATTAACTTCACATCATCTGCTCATACCTCTCGGTCGTTTCTTGTGAGCTCCCCATCACCCTTCCTCAGTCTGATTACCTGGTCCTTGACTGTTGTTTTCCTCCTGATGTGGCTATACAACAGCTTCGGGTCAGACATGACTTTCGATGCTATGTCATTTTCATATTGTCGCTGAGCCTCCCTTCTTATCTGTGCATATTCGTTTCTGGCTCTTCGGCTAATCTCTTTATTTTCCTGAGTTCTCTGTCTTCTGTACCTTTTCCACTCTCTAGTACACCTAGTTTTTGCCTCCCTACACCTATGGGTGAACCAAGGACTCGTTCTGTTCTTCCCATTATTTCTGTTTCCCTTGGGAACAAACCTCTCCTCTGCCTCCTTGCATTTTGTTGCTACATAGTCCATCATTTCATGTACTGGTTTTCCTGTCAGTTCCCTCTCCCACTGAATGTCTTGCAGGAAGTTCCTCATGCCTGAGTAGTTCCCCCTTTTGTAGTTTGGTTTTTCCCATCCTATTCCTGCTACTCTCTCCACTTGAAGCTCAACTATGTAGTCAAAACACAGAACCACATGATCACTAGCTCCTAGGGGCCTTTCATACATGATATCCTTGATGTCCGACTACTCAAGGTGAATACAAGGTCCAGTCTTGCTGGAACATCCTCACCTCTCTTTATGGTAGTGTCTCTAATATGTTGATGCATGAGGTTTTCCAGTGCCACATCCATCATCTTGGCTCTCCATGTTTCGGGACCCCTATGGGGCTCCTGGTTTTCCCAGTCAATCTCCTTTTGATTGAAATCACTTATAACTAGTAACTTTGCTCCCCCCATTTGTGCTCTTCTGGCCACCTCGGCTAGTGTGATGACCATTGCTCTGTTGCTCTCGTCATATTCTTCTTTTGGCATCCTGCAGTTCTGTGGTGGGTTGTACATTACTGCAATTATCACCTTATGTCCCTCAGACTGGATTGTTCCTACTAAGTAGCCCCTTTTGCCCATGCCATCCATTCCTTCCATTTTCTCAAAACCCTACTGGTTTTTAATGAGCAGTGCAACTCCTCCTCCCCCTCTACTCCCTCTGTCTTTCCTGAGGATTTGATATCGGGTGGAAAGATTGCATCTGTTATCATTCTGGTGAGTTTTGTTTCTGTGAGTGTTATTATGTCTGGGGATGTTTCCTTGATTCTTTCATGCCATTCATGCCACTCCTCACACTTATTTGTTATTCCATCTGCATTTGTATACAACACCTTCAACTTCTTTTCTAAGACTGTGGTCTGGGGGGTATATTGGGGTTGGGGAAGTGGGAGACCTGATAAGGAACTATGGGTGGTTGCTGTAGGGGTAGAGTTTGTAATTCAGTGGGTGGGGGCATTGGATATAGCATGGGTGTTTTGGTTTAGAATGTTTAGTTGCACTTGGGTTAACCTGGTTGGGAGGCTTCTATAGGAAGTTGTGAGGGAGGCTGTATTTGATCTTCTTCCTGGGTCCAGGATCTCCTGTCTGTCTCCTCCATCCCCTCTCTTTCCTCCTTTCGCCTTTGTACCATCTCTCTCAGTTTCTGCCTTTCTTCTTCTGTTCTGTCGTGGTGGAGATACACCATCCTGTATGCCAGCATGTCCCTTAATCTTGCTTTCTCCTGCAGGATCCTGTTCCAAGTCGATTCTGCTTTGAAAGTCACTTTCACTGGCCGGGTTCTTCTTCTTGCAAACCCCCCTATTCTCCAAAAATTTTCCAACTGGGTCATGTCATCTTCTCCTATTGCTTTTATGATGCTTTCAGTTACTTTTTTCCCCTTGTTTTCTTGCTTCATAAGTTTCCCCTTCAACTTCCTGGAGCCCATACACAAAGACTGACCTCTCCCTTTCATTCTCCCGCTGCGTATCCTTGTGTATCCACTCATTCAATTTAATTTCCTCCATTGCAGCTTTCCTTTCTTCAGTTTCACTATCTATTGTACTTGGGCTCAGTGGCCTGTCATTTTCCCTTCTCGGCTTTCCCTGGGCTCTGCTGTGGTCTGTTAGGGCCTCCACATATAGCTTAGCTCTTTCCTTTACAACAGTCCCCTCTGATAGAGCTTCTACATGCAGTTTTGCTCCTTCTTTCCCTACAATCCCCTTATTTGTGACTGAGGTAGCAGTCTCTGATGTCATTCCCAAAATGTTCTTTAGTTCTTTAGGCTGTTTCAGATTTTTCAGTTCCTCTTCTAATCTCTGTATCCTAGCCTCTGTTGCTATGACTTGCATCTCCCACTTCTTGCTTTCCATATCTATCCTCTCTTCCATTCTCATGCTAAGTTCTTCTAGTTTCTTTTCCCATTCATGTTCCCTTTGTGTGTGTGTGTGTGTGTGTGTGTGTGTGTGTGTGTGTGTGTGTGTGTGTGTGTGTGTGTGTGTGTGTGTGTGTGTATTACCATAAGCATCTCTTTGAAGGACAGTGTCACTCCTTTAATATATATTAATTACATTCAAAAGATGCTATGAATACGAATCATCACCTGGTGAGTAAGTGAGCCAGTGAGTGAGTGAGTGAGTGACCGAAAGAGTGAATTAGTAAGTGAGCAAATAAATGAAGGAGTGATTGACAGTGTGAGCCATCTGGGTTAGGAAGTGAGAGAATGAATGAGTATTTGTATTAATGTGTTATTAAGTATCCGCCCTGATGAGCTGGAGAGTGAGTGGGTGAGTGAATAAGTGAGTGGGTGAGTGAGTGGGTGAGGAGGTGAGTCAGTGAGTGTGTAGGAAAGGTGAGTGATGATGATCTTACCCTGAATGGTGATCTTACCCTGAAGTTGCGAGTTAAAGTTTCCAATGTGAAGCGCGATCTCTTTCCCAGGCGTGAGTTGTCGTGTACTTTGTGGTGACCTCTGGAGGTCTCCCGGGCATCGAAACTGCAGTCCCGTGTGTGTTGGTGGGGGAAGAGGAGAAAGTTCGTTAGTAGGCTCGGTACACAAACACATACACACACACACACAAACACACACACACACAACACACACACACACACACACACACACACACACACACACACACACACACACACACACACACACACACACACACACACACACACACAAAGAAGACCGCAGATAGAGTATAGGCTAGGTGGCCAAAGACTGCAAACCTCACTCAAGGAGAAAGATCTTGGGGTGAGTATAACACCGAGCACGTCTCCAGAAGCACACATCAACCAGATAACTGCTGCAGCATATGGGCGCCTGGCAAACCTGAGATTAGCGTTCCGATACCTAAGTAAGGAATCTTTCAATATACTGAATACCGGGTACGTCAGGCCCATACTGGAGTATGCAGCACCAGTTTGGAGCCCGCACCGGGTCAAGCACGTTAAGAAATTAGAGAGAGTGCAAAGGTTTGCGACAAAGTTAGTTCCAGAGCTAAGGGGAATGTCCTACAAAGAAAGGTTAAGGGAAATCGGCCTGACGACACTGGAGGACAGGAAGGGTAGGGGAGACATGATAACGACATACAAAATACTGCGTGGAATAGACAAGGTGGACAGAGACAAGAAGTTTCAGAGAGGGGACACAGAAACGAGGGGTCACTCTTGGAAGTTGAAGACTCAGATGAGTCACAGGGATGTTAGGAAGTATTTCTTCAGTCACAGAGTGGTCAGGATGTGAAACAGTCTGGCGAGTGATGTAGTGGAGGCAGGAACTATACATAACTTTAAGACGAGGTATGATAAAGCTCAGGGTACAGGGAGAGAGAGGACCTAGTAGCATTCAATGAAGAGGTGGGGCCAGGAGCTGAGTCTCGACCCCTGCAACCACAATTAGGTGAGTACCACACAACACATAACACGCACATAGACACACAACACACACACATATATATATATATATATATAACTATACATTAATAAATAGATATTATCATACAATTATATAATATACAAATATAACAAACGTTACAACCTGTAGAATCATAAGTTACCAAGCCTCGATCTTGCTAAAGAACATTAACATTTAGCTACTCTTACAAGGGTGTGATGACATATGTATCATTGTAAAAGAAAATTAAACTGACATAGCCTGTAGAAGGGACTCTAGGTAATAAATCTGATAATTCTTGCATAAGAGATTAAGGGCACTAAGAAAAAAAAAGCCAAGTTGACAGTACCTGCAGAATTTATTAAAGGACCTAAAAAAAAAGTCAGGTTAACATAACCGTAGACCAGCTTTTGGCACATGGATTTTGCCGAAGAAGAAAAAAAAGTTGGCTGTTCTCAACGAATAATTGCACAGGTATGTGTCTATCAGGAAAACAAATAGGTTAACAGTACCTGTAAAAAGGCTTGGTAGCCTCGTCTTTATACCAGAGGATGAGTGTGGGTCTGTCTGCTGGCACTGGTAACTCGCAGGGTAGCTTGCCAGTAGTGCCAGCCAGCGCTACCCTCGAGATTGTGGTGGTGGCTGAGGAAGAGCAGATAAATGTTAGGCAGGTCACATAAAGGTTATGCGCTAGTCACCTGGGAAGGTAAGACTATTTATACACCACGGAGAAATACACATGCAGAAGAATTAATGAAGCTAAATTATGTGATAATCTTTGCATAGGTCAGCTCATGTTATTGAAGGTTCCATTTAGTGCGGAAATGTAGTTTAAGATAATATTTTTTTGAGGATACATTCCAATAATGTACTGTGAAAATTAACTATATGAAATGAGTAATATTACTTTCAGGTGATGTAACAATGCTTAGTGTGGTCTGACAAAGACCCATTATAATCTTGATTTTTGCGCTACCGCTTCACACAATGAGCATGAGGTGCACGATAAACTAGCCGCTTAGGCGTCACAAGTAACTTAGAAGGTTCATCTGTGTCAGAGAATGTTACATAGGTTTTTTTCATGGTTAGATAAGGATATAATGGTACCGCAAATAAGACAAAGTTTTAAGTGTTTCCTCTGAGATCGGAAAAATTACATCCAAAGTTCATATCTTGTTATGAACGATCAGGTCATATTATGGAGGGTACACCAGCAGTAAAATAGGCAATTTGGTTCTAAGAAGTAAACAATATTGGAACGCACGGTCCGGCTGTCTTAAGAGTGCCAGATATCGCGCTACCGTCCCTGCTACGGAGGGTCATTACGATCCCCAGTCAAAAATTGCTAGTTTTGTGGGAAGGTTAGTGAAGCCCATAATTGTGACGCAGTCACTTGCTTTTGTTGAATACCCCTGTCTGGACCATCAGCCTGTGAGCAGCTGTCACTGAAAACGAACTGAGAAATTTGCCAGGTAATGTAAGAACATAAGAGAGAAGGAACACTGCAGCAGGCCTACGGGCCCATGCGGGGGAGGTCCATGTACAACCCCCGGCTTAGACCAATAGCCCACTCAGTCAGGTCACCTCCACTTAAAGAAGGAGCGCGGCATCTGACCCAGTAGCACAAGCTAGTCAGGTCTAACTCACACCCGCCCACACCCACTCATGAATTATCTAACCTATTTTTAAAACTACACAACGTCTTAGCTTCTATAACGATACTCGGGAGTTTGTTCCAATCATCCACAACTGTGTTACCAAACCAGTGCTTTCCTATATCCTATCTGAATCTGAATTTTTGCAACTTAAAACCATTGCTGCGAATCCTGTCTAGACTAGATATTTTTAGCAAGCTATTTACATCCCCTTATTCATTCCTGTTTTTTAATTTTACACACCTCAGTCATATCCCCCCTAATTCTACGTCTTTCGAGAGAGTGCAGATTCAGGGCCCTCAGCCTATCCTCATAGGGAAGATTTCTGATACATGGAATCAATTTTGTCATCCTCCTCTGTACGTTTCCCAGTGCATTTATATCCATCCTGTAATACGGTGACCAGAACTGTGCAGCATAATCTAAATGAGGCCTAACCAAAGATGTATAGAGTTGAAGAACAACCTGAGGACTACTATTATTTATACTTCTTGATATGAAGCCAATGATTCTGTTAGCTTTATTGCGTAACACTTATGCACTGTTGTCTTGGTTTCAGATTATTGCTAACCAGAACTCCTATATCCTTTTCGCAATCAGTAATATTAAGATCTACATTATTTGGTTTATATGTGGCATGGTTGTTATCCTTTCCAACATTTAGAACTTTGCATTTGTCCATATTAAACTGCATCTGTCACTTCCCTGACCATTGCATCAGTTTATTCAAATCATCCTGGAGTGTTCTAATGTCCTCATTAGAATGAATTGGACGGCCTATTTTGGTGTCATCAGCAAATTTGCTTATGTCGCTATTTATTCCCTCATTTATGTCGTTTATGAAAAGATTCTCAGAAAAAAACGGGATTCGAATGACATGTGCGGCAGTCATTAAAATGCCAATTAATTGCACTTTCAACCATTCTACAGAGACTATTGTTATCTGGATAGCTTAGTGAAAAGAAAATGTTTGAAAAGTGTGACTCTGGAACAAGGTGTCATTAATGAATATCAAAGATACAAGTGAGGCTCAGGAATTAGTCATTACATCTCCAGCCTCAGAGTGGTCAGGATGTGGAGTAACATAGACGTGAAGGCAGTAGACTGGAGTAAGCAGTTTGAGACGAGAGACATAAGACGAAGGGGAACAGATAAATTCCAAAAACAAATAAGTAACAGAGATAATAAGAAATTATTCTTCAGTCTCAGAGTGATAAGCAAGTGGAATGAAGTGGATGAGAAAGTGGTGGAGGCCAGCTCCAAACACGGTTTCAAGAGAAAATATGATAGCGCAAAAGAAACTAAGAATTAATTATGCCGATCAGTTGTTGCTTAAGAAGCAAAACCGGAAGTTGATACTCGACCCCCAAAACCACAAGTGAATTAAGAACTCGCTGAGCACAAACACTAAAAATAGTGCAAAGCAAGATGAAAAAAAAAGATGAAGAATAAGTTACAATTCTGTGCCTAAAACAAGCAACAGTCCTAGAGTTTGTGGAACTATTGCTTGTTTTAGGCAGCAAGAAACTGGAAATAGAGTAAACCTGAGGAGCTGGATGTACGACATTATAGCGATAAACAAGTTTTAAAGAATGAACAATTGAAAAAAAAATTAGAGCCTAGAAACTGAGGATCACAGGTGTGGATGAGAGAGAAAGGTTGAAATAAGAATACGTCTGCTGACAGCTTGAACAGGGCAGAGAGAGTAATGAATGCACATGCGACAGTGCACCTGACACCGTAAAACCTGAGTGTCCTCCACAGAGTTTTACTCATGAACGTCAGGAAAACGATGCCAGGAATTAAATTACTGCTCAGCTTCAAACTAACTGGGTTTTAATTTATGTCAAATGTCATGTCTCCTTTCTTGTTCAGTATTTTACCCTCATTTAGAGATTTACGTAAGAAATTTATTATTCAGACTTTCAAGAACGCGGATGGTAGTTTGTTTTTCACAGTACATTTGTCAACGTTCGTCTTCTCAGCATATCTTAATGTTTCAAAAATTCTAATTTCACTCAGGTTTATGGCAGCATTCTCAGACCCTGCTAGGTAGATGTATGGTTTGAATATATTCAAGTTGTTGGCTGAGTCAACTAAGCATGAGGCTGTATTGACCAATGAAGTTATTTCCATATTGTCACCAGTCATTCTGTCGTTTCAGTCAATGTCCCAAATCTACAAAAGTTCTTAATATGAGGAAGAAGCTTGGTATCTCCAATATCAGTGATTATTGAGATTAACACTGTACTCGGCATTAGAATGTTAAGAAATGAACCAGACACTGTCACAATGAATCTTTCTAAATATATAGAATTAAATACACACAGATCGAAATG